AGCATGTTATATGGAAGTTAGGAAGCAAAAAAGGTTAATCCAAAAGCTTCACAGCTTCTGCAGCCTGAAGTTTCAACTTGGATTTGTCTTGGTCGACCAAAAAGGAAGTCGTCTAGTAGACACTAGCACTCGAGTTCCCTTTGCACGCAAGGTCTCTGCGACCCGCATGTTATAGAAGCAAAAAGGTGTGGCTCTGAAGCCAGACCGAAGGGTAGGCATGTCATTTCATACTAACTCATAAGAAGGTACCGATTCCTTCCTGGAGACGCCGTACTGGTACTGCGCTACCGTTCGGTACTGATCCTCAAGAAGTATCGACGAAATTTGCCGAGCTGACACTAGCAAAAATATTCCTGTGAGAAATGTTCAGATTCTATCAATCCAGTCCCCTGGCGTGGAGAAAGCTTTGGCTTACCTAGGTGTCCGAAAAACAGTGTTTTATCTTTAGGACCTTGTTTCAACTGCTCCGAAGATCCAAAAATGGACGCATTATCCGTCGCTGTTCTTCCGCATGAAAAAGTCAAGTTTTTTTTTTTTTCCTGTCGGACGGTATTTGGTAACCATACATGGTTTACAAATTATTACAATTTTGGTGGCACTCAGTGCCTCCCGTCGGTGTCTTCAATTGCCCCCCTCTGGATTGTGCCAGATGTTACAGACTATGATTGTTTATAATGTTTGGCTTACCTTTTGTACGAGATCGTGACAAATAGGATTGTAGCCCTCCGAGGGACTGAATAGATTTCAATTTACTATTATCAAACAAAAATTCCTCAATGAGTGGTGCGTTGGCAACAGGATACTTTGTTAGAGACCACGGAAATTAAACTTTGACGTGTTATTTCTATACATACGGCCCTTTTTTCCTCCGGTATACAATTTGAAAACGCTTTTTCACGGGTAACTTGTTACGAGCCGGAGACGATTTGTCAATAGCTTTTTCTAGCTTAATTGATTGTGTTACAAAGATTATTAGTTTAAATCTGTTGTGTTTTTGTCAAAATTTCCGTATTGACGAGATCAATTTGTTTACAACAATTTTCGTTACATTCAATTGTTACACACAGTTGATGCATTATTAGATTTACAACGTCACTGACCTGGTGGGATAACGAGCCGATTCGAAGATCGACCGTTACCTTTGAATCCCGTCGTTTCTTACGCAGAGACTCCTTTTGTTCTTTTTCGCTTGACGAGCTGTTCGAACGCGAGGCGTCTCCATCGCGTGTCTGCCTGGACATCTTCCCTCTCGGAAATTATGGAGCTTGACTCAACATCACCTCCAACAGATGACGCGTGATTCATGGCGTCCGATGATAGGATTGGTAAATAATACTCGTAATGATTGCAAAATAACACTCATAGAAACACAAAATAAATATTTTTTGCAATTAATAAGAAGTCGAATAAATATTTGTGGACTTGCGACTTCACAGTACGAAAGTACACAAGACGCGTATGCTAGACTCAAAGAATGGCTGCGTCCCTTGTATACGTTGCTTGGCAGCACCTAACGGCTAAAGAGTGCGAACTCAATTGACGGTCTATGTCTGGACATAGACAAGGATCTAAGCCTACGAGTACAACACTGCCTTCTTCTAAGTACAATGCTGCTATGTTTTCCAAAGCGCACATTGTCAAGGTATCGCCCGCTTTCATGTATCTGTAGTGCATGCTGATGTATTAGAGACTTTTACCGAATACTTACATATCCCAAATCCTTATTGTATTACAAAAAGCAAATGTGGTGTCGTGGGACACCAGGTAGGAACGAAGTCCTTCGGCTAATGTAGAATCGACACAATTTGCAAAAAAAAATCGTGCTCAATTTTATGTTGGTTTTCTTGATTTTTCTCTTAAATTTTGCTGATTAGTTTTTATTTAAGTACAGGAAAGTATTTAGGAAATTCAATATTTTAGGAAATAATAAATTACGTAAAATAAAAATAAAATCGTAATTCAAATTATCAATTAAAATAACAAAATATGTCTCTTTATTTTTGTTTGACAACATTAAATTACATAGAAATAGAAATAATTACAAAATAGAGAGAGAAGGGATTAGAGAACGAAAAGAAAGAGAGAGAAAGAGAAAGGTATTATACACTACTCGCTTGTGTATACGACTGTCGCGCCTGCGCACGTCTCATTTAACGGTTTTATTCCACGCACTTTTTTCCACGGATTTTTTCTTACGGTTTTACTATCACATTTTTTTCAGTTCGGTCGCGCAGCAAAATCCCTATCCCCTCCAAGCCTGCCGTAAGGAACTTCGTTCCAAAAAATACATACTAAAGCAACGCTAATTTTGCTATAATAAAGTAGTTTTTTGTAGCGAAATTATTTATAAAAATTCCAGCAGGATAAAAGCTGTCAGACAATAAATATACATTCTATTATTGAACAGGGAAAACGCGACCTCATAACGGGCTTGAAGACCCGCACGAACGCCGGAAGACCGAACTGGGATAAGGTCTTCCAACAGCTGCAGCAGCAGAATAAAGGAAAGGTCACGTTGTTCTACTGCGGACCTCCGCAGCTGGCCAGGATACTCAGAGTCAAATGTGACCAATTCGGCTTTGATTTCAGGAAGGAAGTCTTCTAATCTTCAAGCAACTAGCTGTCCTGAGTCCTTTTAGATATCCTTTGCTATCTTTATTATGGTATGATAACATGACCCACTTAATTTATAGATCATTGATGTCCATGGACATTGGAGGTACTGTAACAAGTGCTCTGATCTTTTCCGTAATACCATACTCTGTTCTTAAATCTGACTATCAGAAATGTAAATATCGCTCAGGAATATCTAAATTAATTGAATTACAACCTGTAAATAAGCCCGATTTTTTTTTTAAATAACACGAGGATACTTCTTCTAACTAATTCCTTGTTGACATGTTCTATCTGTAAATACTATACTTCGTTGTTTCAACATTATTTTGTTGTCTTATTATTATTATATCTGCGCTTTTCAATTTTAAATGTTTCAAATCAATTTGATAATTGTTAATTCTTACTTTTATTTTTACTATAGACGCCTTGCCCTTGTGACAATAATGAATATTAAAAAAATTACGTGCTGTGTTTGTATGTGTGTGTGAATAAGTTTTTTTTCTCTCAGTTATCGAAAATTCTGTGTCAATAATTCAAAAGTTTTACCATTTTTATTTTAATTCCAGTTTTTCGTAATAATAAATAAAAATAATATACCTACGACACATGAGAAGAGAACAGTGCAATAGATAAAATATGTATCTGTTTCAATAAATCTGACTTCAACGGGGAATTTAATAAGCATTAAATTATATTTATTGAGTCAATATTCGAATTTTTACAATTCCTGTTGTCCACTCTGTGTTGCCAGATAAAAAAATAGCACGATTAATAGATTTATAAAGATGTCTAATATTATTAAAAAATTGCACAGTCCGTGAAAAATAATTTTTAAGTTAAATAGCAACAAATAAGTTTTTCCTTTGGACATCTCCATATTCGAGAGAGCTTTACTTCTATAAAGTCACTGTTATATTATGCTAAATGTAAAAAAAAATGTTTTTCTGTGTTCATTTCTTTTGTTATAATTAATTTATTAATAAAATTTTATTCACAGAATGTGTTTTAATAGACCTAGCATTCTCATGATCCACGTGTCATTTTTGATTCGATATAACTTGATAGCGTCCCTAGAGCAGACACGCTTCATTGTCAAAGGTCCGAAGCTCCAGGCGAAGTTTGTACAAAGCTTTAGTTTTTCTTAAAATTAAGTTTTGACCAGTACTAACGATCTCCGGTTCGAGATTCATTCACTATACAAATATTATCTTTGTCACAGATAGCACTCCGACTCAACATCGGCTCTGGGTGCTTAGTGAGAGTTTTTTAACGTTCTCGATAGCGTAAAAGTTAACTCTAGAACAGCGCCCCTAGCGGCAAACGTTGGTAAACGTTCCAACTCCATACAAATTTGAGTTAACTTTTACGCTATCGAGAAAGTTAAAAAAATCGTACTAAGCACACTCACTGGTCGGAATTTGGGAAATGAAACAACAGGCCTCAATCCAAATATATTAGATATCGTGAACATTCGCGTACACACTGTGTTACCTGCGATCTAATTAACAATCTGCAACTAATGTAGTCATTCATCGGAAAACAAAAATCTTAGTCTCCACCTTATCCCATTAGGTGGGGTCGGCACAGCAATTTTTTTTCTCCCATTCTCTTCTATCAGGCGTTATCTCAACACTCACTCCTCTCTCTCTCATATCGTCATTCACACACTCCATCCATGTCATCTTCGGTCGACCTCTACCTTGCACTACCATTTCCATACATCTCCTAGTCACATGCTCATTTCCTCTCTACGCATCACATGTCCATACCACGCTAACCGGAATCGGCTATCCGGTTATCGGAACCAGTTATGGGAAGGCAAAAATATAAAATTTAAAGGCAGAAGTAAATAAATCAATTATTGTCTTTAATATTTATTAATACTATCAACCTATTAACCCGAAATTCACCTTAAATTATTCAACCCTATGAAAATAGGTACAACGACAAAATAATTTAATTAAATGACGTCACAAAACGTAATAAAGTTACAACGGGACTATTTACAAATACGTAGCAAATTTTGACGTTTGTCGTACGTCACTTTGAGAAACGCGTCACTCGACTCGACGCTCATTCAAGGTAAAGGTCGCGTTTAGAGGTCGCCCTTGCTTGCAAGGTCGGGCGGCCTTGCCACTTTGCAAAAACCTCGCAAAACGTAATACATCAAGGTACATCAATACCTTGTATGATTGGGAATGTTACATACTCTTTTAGTGTAATACTGACGGTTTAAATGTAGTCTTAATATTGAGACCTTGATTGAAGGTCGTTAAACAAGGTTAAATATTCGCAATTTTTTTTGTAGGTATTATATCAGTGTGCAAAATGAAATTGAAAACAGCGCCATCTATTAAAATATTTAGGTACTGTTACGGCTTCGGAATTTTTGTAGTCTGTCAAAAAAATTGAAATATGGCAGTAATGTACAAATAAATTTTTCTTCACTGAATTCTAAAATGTATCACAACCTTTAATATTTTGGAGTCACCATCCTGCTGCTTTTTGACGAAACATATTAAACAAATTTTGATAAAACCTTCCAATGTATTAGCAAATCAACAGACTAGCACGCTTAATGAAACAAGACAGTAAAAGTGCAATCCATGGTGCTGGATGATAGTGGTTTGAAGAATTTGATGTCCATACAACATACCATTGTCACAACAGACTCAACGGAGAGTGATTTTTCACTAGTATACCATGTTTCTTACTATAAAACTTTTTAATTAGGTAATTGACTGGTAAATCTATTTAATTAGATAATATCAAAAATATTACAGACAGCCCGTTTAAAGCATTCACTGGCAGACTTTGACTTCAACTTCCTTAGACATTTTAAAAGAGTTGAAATTTAATTAAAATTTTGTCATTGGCAATTAAAGAATTCTAAGTATCATTAAAGTAAGATAGATGGCGCTGAATTCATTTCCATTAAGGAGTGTAGGCAGCTTTATTCCTACAGTGGCAGGGTAGGCGAACGAGCTTACGGCCCTTCTGGTGTTAAGTGATAACCTTAGCGTAGAGACCTCAAGCTGTGACTCAATCAGAGCAATGTTGAAGGNTAATTAAAATTTTGTCATTGGCAATTAAAGAATTCTAAGTATCATTAAAGTAAGATAGATGGCGCTGAATTCATTTCCATTAAGGAGTGTAGGCAGCTTTATTCCTACAGTGGCAGGGTAGGCGAACGAGCTTACGGCCCTTCTGGTGTTAAGTGATAACCTTAGCGTAGAGACCTCAAGCTGTGACTCAATCAGAGCAATGTTGAAGGTATTCGTTGTCAATCAAATGGGAAAATGTTGTTGTCTTTGTCTGTGATGTACAGACGGGTGAATCATGTTGTCACAACGCTGCCGTACGGGTAGATGACCTCACGGGCTCAACCTGAGAGAATTTGCTTACACTAGCCCTAACAAGAGCAGTGCTTCGCTGAATCTACCAACGGATCGGAATCGCGAACAACTTAGAAGATCTGGCGAGAAACTCAGTGGGTAAATAGCTTGAATCGCGCTAACGATTTGCAATACGTCCTTATCTACAAGTTTCGAATAACACACCGTCCGTAGGTCTACCAGGATACACTTAATTCTGTATAGTCTTATATAGTATAGATATAATTGGTTGGGGAAAAAGTCTTTTCGCATTAGGTATAGTATGTATGAACTTGTAATAAAATCTCTTTATTACGATGCACCCGCATTTTAATCATACAATATTTGTAAACGGTTTTCCTGATAGAATCATTCTTTTAAAGCAATAAAAATCAAACTTGGTTTAACAAATCGTTCGTTATTTTCATTCATTAAAACAACCCCAATTGTTGTAGCGGTAAGGTTCATTTTTAATGAGATGTAAATTGAAAGACTTGTGTGTGTGGTTTGTGTAGTACTTTGTACAAAACCTATGCTGATAGCCTTGAGAGGCTATTTCAGCGTACCCTAGCTTGTGTAGGTGAGCTCACGGGGCTCGAACCGGAGAATTGCTAACACCGCCCTAGCAAGAGCAGTGCTTCGCAGAATCTACCACCGGATCGGAAGCGCGACCCACTGAGAAGATCCGGCGAGAAACTTAGTGGGCTGTGTCTGTGGGTTAATTCGCTCGTCGAGCCCTTCGTCGCAAGCGACGGGTTCGACGAGGACGGTGACCGGTGCTTGTATTGCCTAAAAGCACCCAAAACCACTGAATATAATTCAAACAATGACAATTATTGGCTGTAACATTTAAAAGAGGATAAAATATATCATATTCAAGAAATAGAACTGGACCGCTTGTCACTTGCGGAGGAAAGTGGATTCTTTTTGATAATCGTAAACAGTCAATTCCTGGTTCTGGCCCTGGTTCAGCACCAAGACAATGATCCAAACGAAAACTTACCCTTAAAAAGTCATGGAGCGTGTTCTTTTTAATTATACTATTTGTTGAATTGTTCTAAATATATATCCATTTTTTATGATTGAAGGATTACTGGTGGCCCGGAGGCCTTTCCAGTTTCACCAGGACAGGTGGGCGAGCAAGGGCTCAGCCAGGAGGGGTGGGATTTGCTAACAACTGTCCGAGCGCCTCCGAAGGAGACCTAACAACTCAAGAGAAGCTGCTTCGCGAATGAATCTACTACCGGATCGGAATCGAAATATATATCCCCTAAGGGTGGATAGCGGGGATTATTTCCGTGATTCTCTCTTCTAAATCGTTCCCTCGCTACTGAAGATCGCGACCACATGTGACGTTCTTCCACTGTGTTCAATAATGGGTGGCACGGACCGCATGGTATAGACTACCACCAAGTGCTTCTCTTACTAGACCTGATGGATTTAAATTCATCCGTAATGAAAGTCCACGTTACCAGTCCGTACATATTGTTACGCGCTAGGGTTCGGGATAAATCAAAACTCTACCGAAGTACAATTTAGAACTGTTTTGACACTTAGGACACTTAAAACACTTAACGAACACTTTAAAACTCTCAATTCGCTTCTTCCGCTTCGCTTCAGGTGATCAGTTCGCTGTTTCGCTTCGAGTAGATCCGATTACTATCTGACTGCGTTTTTTTTATGTTTGAGAGATTACTGGAGGGCTTTCCAGTTTTACCAGGGCAGGTCGAGCAAGGGCTCAGCCAGGAGGGTGGGATTTGCTAACAGCTACCCGAGCGCCTCCAAAGGAGACCTAACAACTCAAGAGTAGCTGCTTCGCGAATGAATCTACTACCGGATCGGAATCGCGACCCGCTGAGAAGATCTGATATTTACGTTAGCTTGCACGTCGAACTCTTTGCCGAGTTCGACGAGTATGGTTACCGGGATACCTACTCCTAGTATTAGAGCTAAAGATGTCTAATACAAGGGTTATTGGATCTAATGGATCCGTTAGGAAGTGAACTGACCGCGTGCCATCTCTGCAACGCTTTTATATTAGATACGACATCACTAGATTTCTCGAGAACATTCTGAGCAAGTCGAGTAGTTTCGATGTGTGTTTCCGCTATCTGACAATAGATGGCGTTTCCGATGGATGGATGGCGATTCCAATTGGGATTAACCAGGGATCCGTTTTTAATAAAACCGTTCTATTTCAATAGAGCCTGTGTGAAATCTAAATATCGAGCTATAAATCTAGACTTTTTCGAATGAGTCAAAACTCTTTATGAGCAAGTTTTTGTTCTTCAGCTATTTCGTTGTTACTAGCAACCCGTCTCAATTACAGAACTCGGAAATGAATCTTAATACTTTCGTCCCCGTTAAGTCGTGAGGTCGAATTGAATCCGCCTGATCCCTTCAAGGTAGCAATCCTCCGCGTATCCCATATCACGCTACAGTAGTAAAAACTTTTGGCACGACCCAACAAAATTCCAGAAATAATTTCATAATTTAGGCAGAAAAAAGAACAGATACGTATATTTCCTTTGCATTAAACTGATAAAATTAAATATACCTAATGAAATATTGACAACTGATTATGTACCAAGAAGTCAATATAAATAAAAGTTCAGAGCCGGATTTAGATGTGAGCCGTGGGGGGCAGTTCCTTATTCTTTCAACGAGCTCATGTTCCAGTGTTGAGTGACGGTGGACGAGCTCACAGCCCACCTGGTGTTAAGTGGTTACTGGAGCCCATAGACATCTACAACGTAAATGCGCCACCCACCTTGAGATATAAGTTCTAAGGTCTCAATTATAGTTACAACGGCTACCCCACCCTTCCAACCGAAACGTATTACTGCTTCACGGCAGAAATAGGCGGGGTGGTGGTACCTACCCGTGCGGACTCACATGACGTCCTACCACCAATAATAACACATAGCCTCTCAAGGCTAGGTACCTACCAGATTAGGTAGAAAAAAAAAATATTGCACTGGTCGTCTTACCAACTGCGGACTTTAAATTATAATTCAAATTATAACGTCCGTCTGGTGTAGTGGTAAGTGACATGGTCACTACACTAGGGGGTCGCGTGTTCGAATCCCGCCAAGGGAAGATATTTGTATGATGGGTATAAATGTCTTTTCCACGGTTATGGATGTATATTAAATATACGTATGTGTATAATAAAAATCTTACATTTATATCCGTTATCTGGTACCTGTAACACAAGTTCTTTACGAACTTATCACGGGACCAGTTAACGTGGCGTGATTGTTAGTAAAATATTTATATTTATATTTATTTATTTATATAATTAATTTGAGTCCCGAACCGGCTACTCTAAATACGGTACGTTTAGACTTTGATACTGCTATCAATAGCTTGTCACGTCCCCACAGTACGCTCTAACATTTCGATCGAGACACACGCGAGCGCACATCACAAGACGAATTCAAAACATTCAATAATATGCTTTAAGAGTGCCCAAAATGAAGTCGTTCTTATTTTATGGAATTTTAGTGGCCTTAGGAAGTGTGATTGCAGGTAATTAATGATTTTATTACGTTCGAATCTGGGTTCCTTTGTGAGAGCCCGTGATGCAACTTGACTAAAATAATATGTATCTTTGTGTGTGTGTCTGTGTTTTGATGTGTTTATCGTCTAAATTATGGTAAGATGCGGCGTATGATGTATTAGTATGTAGTATTTGTTAGTTTTGACTTCTAATTAGAATATCAGATTATAGTCATATTGAATTATGTATCCAAACGATTTTGAATTTCTTTTTCTTCCAATTTATCGATATAGAGATATTTATTTTATTTTTTCAGCCATTGTTAACAGGATATTGTGACGAAGGCGTACATGTATATTGCCTTTTTCTGTTTAATGTCTTACTCCAATAATCATTACATGCTGTATAGGAACAATTTAGACAAAACAAGAAACAGGAAACTTTGATATGGGCTAATTTAACTAACAACGGCGGCCTTATCGCTAATAGCAATCTCTATCAGTAATAATTCCCCTATTAGTGATGTTTATAATAAGTCACGTACGTCGATAAAAGGCTTAGACCGTTGTCTTAAATCAGAAACAGCTTCAAAAAGATGAGAAGAATGATCTAGTAGACAGCTTCCGTGCACTCACGCGCGACATTTAATTATGTAGCCAGTAGTGTTGTTTATCTAACTTTGAAAACCTACGAGACAAATGGCCGTATTTCTGCCGTGAAGCAGTAATGCGTTTCGGTTTGAAAGGTGGGGAAGCCGCTGTAACTATACTGAGACCTTAGAACTAATATCTCAAGGTGGGTGGCGGCATTTACGTTGTAGATGTCAATGGGCTCCGGTAACCACCTAACACCAGGTGGGCTGTGAATTCATCCGGGAGCTCATTGTAAATATTCATATTGAAAATTCTGGGGAATGATTACGCAGTACCACGCGTCCGGACTTCCAGAATGATCAATATGATGTCATATCCGTGTAATACCAATTATTGATCCCAATAATCAGTCCCTAATACTGAACTGAGATGCGCTATTGCTAAGCAGTAACGAATACGCCTACATACCTACAGAAGACACAGTATCGTAGATTGGGGAGAATCGGGACCCTTTCCTAATCCAACACAAATTTTCAAAGGTTTTTTTTATGGCTTACATGGATGGACGAGCTCACAGCCCACCTGGTGTTAAGTGGTTACTGGAGCCCATCTACAACGTAAATGCGTAACCCATCTCGAGATATAAGTTCTAAGGTCTCAGTATAGTTACAACGGCTACCCCACCCTTCAAACCGAAACGCATTCCTGATTCACGGCGGAAATAGGCGGGGTGGTGGTATCTACCCGTGCGGACTCCCAAGAGGTCCTACCACCAGTGGAATTCTTAGGATAATACCAATAAAATTGAGATTAAAATGTTTAAGGAGGCTTAATTTTTTATATACGATGCGTTATTATACATAGTTCATTACAAAATATACCTACACAAAAACTGAAAAAACTAGCTTGACCCGATTCACCTTGGCTTTAGGGTGAATCAGGTTACGTATACAATAGAGTTTTTCGATAGGGCTGGCACTATTTAATTGTTAGGTAGGTACTTTTTTTTTTTTTTTTTTATTGCCCTTGTAGGCAGACGAGCATACGGCCCACCTGATGGTGAGTGGTTACCGTTGCCCATGGACTTCAGCAATGCCAGGGGCAGAACCAAGCCGCTGCCTACCGCTTAATACTCTCCACAAGCCTCGTTTGAAGAAGGACTTAACTTTAGCTAAATATTTTTTTAATATCTTTAATGAGTTACAAGACTTTGAGGACTACATTAAACAATTTAATATTCTTAAACACTAAATAAAAGTTATTTTCGGTTCAACAAAGTTAAATCTAACCACTCAACAAAAGTATTGTGACATTCCAGATTTGTCCTTATTCTAGCTCTAGATTCTATTCCCTCCAATCTACTGTATTACGAAAACAGTCATGTCATTAATAAACATGAATCATTTATGTAAATGGGGCTTAATGATAATTTCACAATTATTAAAAACAATAATAATTGACTAAACTCAATTTTACAATCGTCCGTGAAGCAGTAGAGCATTGGATATGTCGAAAATAATACAATCAAATAATACAATAATAAATGTCAAATGAAGCTATTAAAAGTGTTTTTTATTTTTATTTTATTGCTTAGATGGATGGACGAGCTCACAGCCCACCTGGTGTTAAGTGGTTACTGGACCCCATAGACATCTACAACGTACATACGCTACCAACCTTGACATATAAGTTATATAAGTTCTAAGTTCTCAGTATAGTTACAACGGCTACCCCACCCTTCAAATCGAAACGCATTACTGCTTCACAGCGGAAATAGGCAGGGTGGTGGTACCTACCCGCGCGGACTCACAAGAGGTCCTACCACCAGTAAAGTGTTTTTAGTTAAATTAACAATAAACTTTCAGTTACAGCTTGTTTAATTAGTTAATTGTTGACTTGTTACAATTAGATCGGATATCGCAGTTAATAGATATTAGGCTCTTCGGTAATACAATTCTGCCTATCGCAACCACGAAAAATATTTACGTGTTATTTTTAAGGGTTTTGCGTTTTCTTTTATTGCCCTTGTAGGCAGACGAGGATACGGCCCACCTGATGGTGAGTAGTTACCGTCGCCCATGGTCGTCAGCAATGCCGGGGGGAGAGCTAAGCCGTTACCGAGCGTACCTGCGTATTATAGAATGCGATTTAGTGTTAGACCTGAAGGTATTTGGGTAAATGGTAAATGGGAAATGGTGATGGTAAATTGTAAATGTATTTGGGTACTGGTGGTAGGACCTCTTGTGAGTTCGCGCGGGTAGGTACCACCACCCCGCCTATTTCTGCCGTGAAGCAATAATGCGTTTCGGTTTGAAGGGCGGGGCAGCCGTTGTAGCTATACTTGAGACCTTAGAACTTATATCTCAAGGTTGTTAGCGCATTTACGTCGTAGATATCTATGGGCTCCAGTAACCACTTAACACTAGGTGGGCTGTGAGCACGTTCACGCATATAAGCAATAAAAAATAAATATATCAAAGACAGACAATAACCTTGAGATTCATAAGTCAAGGAAGAAACCGTCTTTGTTTGAAATAATTCCGAAAACCTCTCTTATCAATTCACAATCGATATCAATAGGAACTCGTGTTGTTCATTGATAACGTCGCATTTACGAATTGAACAGCAATTACGTTTTGTGTCTTCGAGCCTCTTTGTTTAATATTACGTTTACAAAACCTGACTAGTATATCGGTGCGCGATTCAGGCCCAAAAATCTCAATAGATAAACATCCTGATCTGATCTCTTTAAGAAATACGTATGGAATCTATACCTCTGCAAGACCTATACATTTACATAAGCATTTCACGGCGGAGATCGCATTTTTTACTGGTCGTAGGACTTCTTGTGAGTCCGCACGGGTAGGTACCACCACCCTGCCTATTTCTGTCGTGAAGCAGCAATGCGTTTCGGTTTGAAGGGTGGGGCAGCCGTTGTGACTATACTGAGACCTCAGGACTTATATCTCAATGTGTGAGGCGAATTTACGTTGTAGATGTCTATGGGCTCCAGTAACCACTTAACACTAGGTGGGCTGTGAGCTCGTCCACCCATTTAAGCAATAAAAAAAGCATGCTGTGCATGGTGATAAAATAACGTGGTTGCATCAAAAATATAGTTGCCTGTAGTTACCAGCCTTACATCCATAATACTACTACATCCATAATAACCTTGAAACTCTTAGTTTTAAAGCTCTGAAAGTTTTATCTTGGCTACAATAGTTAGAAGAACAAAATATATATTTTCTAGTACATTCGTTAGCGTCAGACAAACAAATTCAATTATTTTACGATTCTGCCATTTCGAATATTGTAACAGATTTAGTGTCATTGAAAATGTATTGTTAGCGTAACTTTTCAACTGATGATTTGCTATTAATCATCAGTAGTTCATCGTCTGAATCATTGGCTGACAATTTGAAAAACAACACCTAAATACATCACGTTTTTACTTTGTAAATTTGATAACGCGAATGTACATTATAAGAACAATTTAAATTTGTAATATAATGAATTTTAGACATTCTTTAGCCCGCTTGCTATTTAAGGTTATTATTATTATGGAGAGTAACACATGAGGAGTACTTTGAAACATGAGGTCAAAGCCTCAAAGTTATTATTCGAACGGCTTTGTTATCCTTCAAATTTTAACATAACAAATAATGTCAATATATAAAGTACCAGTAGTAAATAGAGTATTTGGTAAAGCCAGTTTGAAGTCAGAGTCATAGTGGACGTGTTCACCCAATAGTGAGTCAAGAAGATACATTGTGATTTCAAGGTACTTTGTTTGCTAATAGGCTACGTAGAAAAGCGCGAGCTTCCTGAACCCAAAAAGCTTGAGCAATGCATTTAATTAACATAGGCGGAACTCAAAAAGGATAAAAACTTTTCTACGGAGAGGTTTAACACCCTCTCGTGAGTACGAATGATCAAAACACACGTGATCTAATCGTGAAGTTATCCAATACGAATTATTTTGTAGCTAATTATTATTCTTTGAAAATCTATATATATTAATACGTGAAGCAAAAACGTTGTACCCCTTTTTTACGAAAATTGCGCGGACGGAAGATTATGAAATTCCCTACACTTATAGAGAATATAGAGAAGGAGTGCAGAATGCTATTTTTTTTAAATTATGCTTAAATAATACATTAAATCAATAATAAAAAACATTACATACACTACCATGTATTTGACACAACACATACATATAAATATACTCTTTATTTATTGTCAATTGTCAAACTTTTGTTATTGTGTATAGTCTGTGATCTAATTGAGAACAGATTTAAATTGTTTGTCTTTAATATTATTTATCTATGTAGCTTTGGCGAAATCTGTGATTAAATTAAAAAAGTATAATTTCTGTTTGACAATAGAAAAATAATAATTGTTAAACTCATAATTTCAATTAATTATAGTCGAATATC